GATTTGGAGTCACTAAATGTGGGCAAAACACCACAGGATACTCTAATCTTTAATCCTAGGAAGCTCTGAGGATATTCCTGAATGGTGCACGCCAGAAGTACAAGCTGGAAAATGATCCACAAGGTGATGAGGCCATAAAGGCTGGGATCCCACTCTCTGAAAGAGGCTTCTCAAAACCGTGCAAGTGTGGGGCGGTGTGATGATGCTGATAGTGCCTCTTTTACCTTTTCCCCAAGTTTTTCATGAAGAGTTTTTTTTGTTGTTGTTGCAGTTTGGCCAGTGCCGGGTTCAAACCTGCCACCCTCGGTATATGGGGCTGGTGCCCTACTCACTGAGCCACAGGCACTGCCCACCATGAAGAACTTTAAATATTTTCATAAAGGAAAAAAAAAAACACCCTAAAAACCTTAAAGATAAGCCAAACATCTGATCACATTAAGTGTCGGTGATATTTGTGATGAAACTTAAGAATTTGCTGTTAATGCAATGATTTACCAATGATTTACTATAGTTTTTGGTTTTTCTTTAAAGGAGCTTAGGTACTTCAGGAAAACAAATTAGCTCACTTTGCTCATGTGAGCAACCTAAAATGTATTTTTTCAAAGGTCAGCTTGAAGAGGCCCTTTCTGTCTGGGGGCAGCCATCAGGTAAGCCACGATGGGTGCGTGCAAGTACAGTCAGGGTATCAAGGAAGAAGGACTCTGATGAGACATGCTTTCCTCCAAGAGTCAGCTGCTGGTAGCATAGCCAGTTCTCTGCACTCCACAGGGCTCCCTGCCCCACCTAGCCAGATAAAGCCACAGACTAGGATACAAGGAAGCAAGGTTATGTCATTTATAGGATTCATGTGCACTGCGGTGGCTATAAATGCCCAGTTCCTAAGGGTGCACCCTATAGCAAGCTTGTCCATAGCAAGCTGTTAACTAGCTACAGTTTGCTTGAAGCCTTCAGTCTGGCTGAGAAGCAAGCTGGAGCTGCTGTGGAGCTCTAAGTCCCAGATTCTTATTGGTTGGTGAAGATTCCACATATAAAGGTTTTTTTTGCAGTTTTTAGCTGGGGGCTGGGTTTGAACCCCCCCCCTCCAGCATATGGGGCTGGCGCCCTACTCCTTTGAGCCACAGGCACTGCCCCATACAAAGTTTTGAGGTTATCCTCACTGATCCATTCCACAAAGCTATCAGAAGAAATCATGATACCTATTAGATCATCAGACTGGTCCAGAAGCACAGGGAGATGCGTGGACTGACATCTGCAGGCTGAAAGAGCTGTGGCCTTGGAGAGGGACATAAGTTCCACTGCACTATTGGTGGTTCTTGCCGTACAGGCTGGAGAAGGGGCGATACTCTCCAGCTCCCCCGTTACCACTATTATAAGTAATGTTTGTAAAATTCATACCTAATAAACAATTTAGGATGGTCATGTGTTATCTGTTCATTTAAACTAGTCTGTAGATTGTCTCACAAATGCTTTGTCAAATTATGAAGTGCAATCATGTTTGAAGACAATAAGTGAGGGTGTATCTTTTTCTAGTAAGATAAACTTGTTTTTGTCTTTGCTTTACTTTACTAGGGAGTTATATGCCAGTGTTTAAAACATGCTTTGTAGTGTAACAGGGGTAAAACAAATTCTTGAAAAGAGAGAAAAAGCCTGAAGAAGAGGCTCCCGTATCAAGCTTATCTGTCAGGCTATAAATAAATCCCAGTGAGCACTACACCCACTTTATGCAAAGCACTTGTATCAGCACGAGATTAGAGGATTAGGAGTTTTCTGTACAACCGAAATCTAGTCAAGAAGAATCCTTCCTGAGAGGCCCAATATGTAAGATAACTACACTTTGCAAAATAAACTGAAGGTAAAACAACCGTATCAGTATTCATTCTCCAGACCACTCAAATGATTATTTTCATAAAAATAAGAGAACTGGTACCAGAAACTATCAGATGTAAGAAGATTAATCTTGTTTATAGTAAATAAATACTGGAATCTCCTTTTCAGGGTCATATGACTTTGAAGCTTCCATTAAGAATATTTTAA